CCTTCCTTCCTTCCTTCCTTCCTTCCTTCCTTCCTTCCTTCCTTCCTTCCTTCCTTCCTTCCTTCCTTCCTTCCTTCCCAGAGTTAAAAGAAGAACCGAGTTACAGAATTTGGTCCCAAGGACTTTACAAATATATTATATATATTCTGGGCCACAGTTCCCAAAGCAAATTTCAGCTAAGACAAGTCAAACATCATGCCGAGGATCTCTGAAGCACCAAGGGGCTCTGTGCAAGAGTCAGCTTTCAAGCTGATTGTGTGCTTGTGTGTGCTTTCTCTACTGCCCTGAGAAAATCAGATGCTGAAATAAGAGGTTTTTCAATGCTAGATTGAACGCCTCAGTGGCTTCTCAACAAGTATGCAATGCTTTTAAATGATTGATTCCCCATTGCCTCATGCCTGTGGTAAACGGAGATTAATTAGCTAGTGGCTGTAACCCAGGAAGTTATTGCTCCCAAAAGCTGTCCTGGCAGAACCAGCAGGGAAACTCTTACCTAAAAATACTTCTCCTGTTAAACAGCCTTCCCCTCTTAGGTGCCCTCCTTTTGGTCTGATCTGAGATTACAAAGAGTCGGAAGATCCACTCCTCTGGGGGACAGGCCCCCAAAGTAGGTGATAGTTATGGATTGCTGCTCCTTGCATTTTGCAGAGAGAGAGGGCAGGAGAAGGTCCTTCCCAGCCTTGCAAAGATCACTTTTCCCAGCGTTTTCTTTTTCTGGAAGAAAGGCCCAGTTATGCAGCCAGATCTGACCATCCAGGTCATTTGTCCTGAATGTTTCTGCCTTGCTGATACTTATTCTCTTTTTTTTATACGTATTTGGGGCTCTTCTTGCTCTTCTTTTGCAAATGGGAAGAGAAAAGACTGAATTCCCACAAGGTGCTAAATATAACATGGTTTGATTGTTTTTGACTAGCTGTCGTTTCATGATTCTAATTGTTCTGGTCTATATACCATGGTTAAGGGCTCATGCATTGCATCAATCCAGCCATGGGTGCCTTATTCAACAACCATGGTTAGCAACCGGTGCCAAAGCATGATGAGTAAACTCAGGGAATGTGCTCAGTTTGGTTTTGCCTTTCTGTGTTGTATGAGCCCAACCACTGTGGATTGTAAACTATCATTTAAGGTTTATGCAATGTGTGAACTAGAGAAACTTCAAGGGCCAAATGGTTATGTTTCATACAAAAAGGCCGTATATCAGCGAGACGTTTCTAGTGTAGAGTCTACTTTTGTTAGGCTCTACATGTTAGAGTCTACTTTTACAAAATACAATTTGTGTCCCCCGCAGATGCAATTTTAAGGGGATAGCGCCATGTGCTGAATCTGTTTTTTTTATGCGCATTGATGCACCCCCCCAAAAAAAAAATTGGGCCATGCTTCCATCATGAAAGCAAGCAACCAGTTTGTAAAGATGTACTTATCCAGGGTTGTTTATCCCCAAATCTCCATCTGCAATTTCAACTCATTCTATCTAGGACCAGGTTTCTCAACCTTAGCAACTTTAAGACATGTGGACTTCAACTCCAGAATTCCCCAGCAGCTGTGGGGAGATTTCCTTAGACCTTTTTACTGAATAAACCCCTGTTGCTTTCACTGCGACTAGTTAAGCCAAGGGTAGGCACCTACAGCCTTCCAGATGTTGCTCAACTACAACTCTCAGCATTCCTGGGAAATGTGACCAATCGAGTGCAGAAGATTAAGCAATGTCAGTGACACAGGTTGCCATCCCCTAAAATAAGGCATTAATAGTGGTTTACAACTCATAATGAATGCATTCCCAAAACATGCTAAGCCATCATCATACAGCCAGATGTTGGCTTAATGCCCTAGTGAGCTCATCCTCAGAAGCCTCTTTTGCTGAGTGTGGACCTGAACTTGGGTCTTCCTCCTGTCATTACGTCACACTTCTATTTCTGCAAAATTTGAAAATTACCTTGGTCGTAGACGGCATTCTCAAACGGAGTCCTTGCCTACAATCATAACAACAAGCTTTATATATGTCTGGTGGGTTTTTTTTCTTCAAGCGCCATGCTTCATTCCTTATAAGTATTCTTCAGGGGTATTTCCCAGCCAAGAAGATATAAATAAAATACACTCTGCATTCTTGGCTAGGATGTACCTCCTCTGAATACCTCAGCTTTGAATTATTTCTTTAGCTTGTCCTTTTACTCTTTCCTGCTAAGAATCACGAGTGAATCACCGGAGTCTGCAAGTCTTAACTTTGTGTCTACGGCACAGACACTCCTTCAAAGCTGAGGCAATTCTGTTCAATTGCTGTGAAAGTCCTGTACAATGCGATGATTCAAAATCCCATGACTGCTTTTGGAATTGCAAAAGGTGTGAACTAGAGTGACCTGAGCACAGCTGACAAAAGTCAAGCCCTTCTGCGCATACAATGGTTGTATTGGCACAAAAGGTTGAGCTTGGTTCTAACCTTACTTTGCTTCGAATCGGCACCCCTGTGTGCCTACAGACCCAGCCAGTTTGATTAGCTTCAGGTTCAGGGCATTGTGTGAACCCCCCAAATGAATTAATCCAGTCACCAAGTTATAAATATTGTATGAATGCAGCCAGTGGGTGACTCCCCCCCTTCTTTTGCTATGCATATTCCTGTGATCATAAACTACCCAGGTAAGCAGAAGGTAGAACAAAGATGAGGTGAAATACTAGGTTATTTGCAAGAGATCCACGGGGTTCGGCTTCCTTTTTCCCAACAATAATATCAATCAAAATCTCCCACCTCAAAAAAATCACACGGGTTAAATCCCTGATCTGTTCTATCTGTAGTGTAGATTAGTTGGTCCCTGTTCATGCCAATCCCTCCTATGTAGCTGGGGCAAGGGATGAAGTTTAGAAATTCCTCTGCCCCACAACTACCATTTTGCTATTTATTTATTTATTTAATTAATTAATTTAATACGGCTGCCCATCTTAACAAGTGATGCAATGGCCTTCGCTGGGCAGGGAAAAGGCAGCAAGTCAGATTCTGCAATCGTGAACCCGATCCAAGCCTTGCTGAGTTCAGTATAGGTGTGTGTGTGTGTGTGCAGTTTTCATGGCCCCTTTGCTGTGAAACTGTTGCGGCTAGTCTGTTGGGGAGAAAACCCAGTTTCTCTTCACTGACATAGTCCTTGAAGCATCCAGGAAGATACCCAAGTTTTGCACCATCACTTTTCATGCTGGGAGATTAACAATTTGGAACCTTTGTTATAACATATGCATTCGTTCTTCCTATGCCATATGTAGTACTAGGTATTCTTTTTTAAAAAAAATCTGAAGTTGGCTGTACTTTTAACCTGCCATCAGATCCTGATGTTTGATTCCTGTGTTCTATATCTTATTCTATTCTACTTTCTTTTCTCTATCTTTCCTTTATCTTTTGGCCTCTTCTTGCTTTGAAACTTGCATTGTTCTTGTCATTTGGCCTCGTTGCTGTCAACCCAAATCCATCTCTTCTAATTGCTATGTTTGTGTTGTCCTTCACGCAGCTCCATTCCTAAAAACACATTTCATCGATGGGCTTTGACCTATGAAATGGACCATAGATGATCTACCAGCATTTGCAGTCACACTTTCTTCTAGC